TGAAGTCATGCCAAATCATGTGAAAACACAGGAAGTTAAAACACTGCAGGTTAGCTGCAAGATTCTTGTCTTCACACTTCGTTGTTGTTCTATAAGTTTTGATGGGCGTCGTGTTGTCTTCTAGACTACTAAAGCATCGTATACCTTTGTAACTTGGTAACGAATAGCATACACAGCTTTTAGTCTACTTTCCTATCATGTGTTTGAGAGTGACATGACAGTTTATTTACAGACTCCTCCAATGCATTACATTTGTGTGTAGATAAGAAAAGAAGACAGAAACACTTTGAATTATTCCACACACACATATACACAAAGATACAGTTTCAAGACAGGACATTGCAGTATCATTAACTTTAAAAGCGAATGTGTAAGCACAACATGATAGAAGAATACCCTTGAACTTAGCATCAAAACTCTTAGACTTAACTCCATTATTCTTCGTTTTATAATGGCTGTGATGATTTAGTTTTAGCCCCCTCGTGGTTTCAAGATAGAGTCCTCTTTCTTGAAGTTTTGAAGTAGCAGCGTCTTTCGTACCAGCGCTTGTTGCAACGATTCAGTATTCTCTAATTTCAGCTTTATCAGAATCAACTTTGACTAATCGAACATTGATTGCCATCTGGTCTTTGTGACTGATCCCAGAGTGTAATCCAATACAGTGAGGTAGTGTTTTCTATTTTATGTCAAGCTCAAGGTACTGTGAATGATTTTACCAGATAACAGCTGCATGAGTTCATTTCGAATTCTTTTCACAGGATAATGGCTCGTGAGATCTCAGCCTTTCAAACTGTTATCTCATTAGAGCATCAGCCATATCAAAAACTTCAATGAACTTGGGAAAACTTCACTTATTATATATATATTTTTTCATCTACAAAGATCGAAGTTCCTTGAAGTAGAAAACACCGCTGGATTAAGCACTTTATGATAACTCTTTTTAAACACTTTGTCAATGCTAGGTTTCAGACGTAATCACAAGGTGATCATTTAAATCGATCCACTGTTCTTTTCCTAGATATAATTCTAATTCTTTCCATTTTGTAAAAGCTTCTTAATGATTAAGTGGCATCTAGCATTATTTTAGTATCTTCTGTATGTCCTTCATTCATATCGTTATCAGTCAAGACGAATGGTATTGAAACAAAGAGTTTGCAGGAAAAAAAATACACCACTTTTGCTTTTAATGAACATATAAACCAAGCTCCCCGTTGTCCTTCTCTATTACTAAGATGGCGGTTGTAATAGGGATGCAACAAGTTTCTCCCATTTTAGTCATAAAGAAACTTTAACCTTTTATTTGTAGTGGACCTCTTTGTACAAGTAGTTGTCTCAGTTCGTCACTGATATCATCTGTCCACTGCGCAAGATCGCTTGAAACTTCAGTGGCATGACCATCATCATTCACTTCATTGTTGTCAGCTTGTTTTTCACTCTTGTATTCTCAAACCTTTTTTTTTTTTTACTTTGTTAAAGCGAAATAATTCCTCATATGATGAAACCAACATACTTTCCCTGCCTTAAAAACCTTATCATTGAAATCTGTTACTTTTCTGACTCTCTCAGACCTGGTCTGTCCTAATGGTTAACGTGCTGGACTGTGGATACGAGGATCCATGGTTTTCATCCTGTTGGCACACACACACACACAAGATTCACACTCCTCTCTTTGGGCTAATGGGTGCATTATAAGAGTAACAGTCAAATTCCACTATCTGTCTAGTGTAACGTAACACAAGAACTTATATTGGGTGTTGTCTTCCTTTTAGCCTACACTTCAAAATTAGGGACAGCTAGTGTAAATAATATTTGTGAAATTTTGCGTGAATATCTGACACAAACAAACACCCTTCACTTGCAGCTTCCTGTTTCCTGTATTCAGCACCACACATCTGACATTTTGTGTTAAATACTAATAAATATACTGATGCAGTTATTGAATAAACAGTAACGAAAATATTATTTAAACTTTACATGTCGATTTACACTATACTTAAACGGAAAAACTGTAATATACATCAGTTTTATATTGGACATTGTACTCATGGCTAAATTATTAAGGCTATCTGCCACCAACGCTAATTTTGAACTAGTGACCACAGGGAAAACATCCATTCGGTATCACCATACCACCTACCATGTGCATTGTCACTCTTATAACACATACACAGCTGGGGGGGGGGGGAAGTATTATATGGTCTCGCATGGATTCGAACTCTGCTCGCTAGCTCCGAAATCCAGAGATCTACCACTGGAATAATTTGTATGTGAGTCAATATTAGCCACATATATTTATACAATAGCCGGTAAGTGCTCATGAAACTATCTAGATTCCAAAATGAATTAATTGCTGTATTAATTGTTTCAGTGCTGCCTACCTGATACGCCTGCTCGTAAATTTAAGACTCTTAATTTAAGCCTAATGCGGAGTTGTTCTAAAACAAACAAACGAATACGGACCTATGAGCAATTTAATGCATAGTTTTAAAAAGTGTTTTTAAAAATCTGATCCAAGACTTTCTTAATAAATGCGTTTATGGGGCCGAAGCTCAGCCTGTACAATTTCAATTTCCCGGTTAGTGCTTTTTTGTTTTGTTTGTTTTCATTGACACCACTACACTAATAATACTGTGGGCCTAACGTAATAGTTTGTACTGTGGGAGGGGCCCTGAAGCTGGTTCATACGGCCATTATCCAAGCATTGATGATTTCCGTTTTAACAAATAATCTACATCAAGCTGAAATAGAATTGGTAACATTTTTACATATTTGTTTTTATTGCTTAGTTTGTTTGAAGTTAAGCACAAAGCTACACAATTGGCTATTTGTGCTCTGCCCACTACGGGTATCGAAATCCGGTTTCTAGCGTTGTAAGTCCGCAGACATACCGCTGTGCCACTGGGGGGGGGGGCTTTTTATTGCAAACAGAAAGATTTAAAAAATTATTGTCCTTAAATGTTAGATGTTAGTTTAGTAACCACATTCAATTTATTTTGTAGTTGTTATATGCTTTCAGTAGATATCACCTATGTAGTACAATCGAATGCATAACAAACGCAATGTGTATTTGTAGTTAGTTCTTTGGTAGCTGTGTGGAAAAAAAAAGATGAAAGTTAAGCATGTAACTTTTGTATATTGTAACAGAAAATTTGGTTCAGTAAAAATGCTATTATCAATAATGAGGAGGGTCGTGACCTTTATTCGCTAAATACATCTAATCTTATGTTCAGTCTATGTTAGAAGAAAAAATGAGTCTATTGTCCATGCCAAAAATCTAGAGCTCTGGTTGGTCCAGTAGATTTCAGAGTTGGCGAGCCGAGCGCGAATCAGGACGACTAGGTTATCAAAATATAGACTGAAAGCTATTTTTGGATATTCTCAATTTGTTTCATTTTCAAGGTAATAGCTGTGCCGAGTGTGGCACAGTGGTTAGTGGTAACCGCCAGACTATGGATTTACAGGTCCAATGTTCGCGTCCCGTTATCGAAAAAATCGTGCTCCGCACTTTGGAGCCGTGGGTGCGTTACAAGGGTGACGGTCAAATCCTACTACTTGGTCAAGAGTTGGCATTGGGTACTGTTAATTAGCTAGCTTCCCCTTTGGTTTTATTTGTTTTAAATTAAGGATGGTTAGCGCAGATAGCCTTTGAGGAGCTTTGCGAATGTCCGAAAACGTATAACAGGGTGTTACGACAGCGGAGGTCACGTGACTCTAGTAACATGTCATGCACTTCTAAAACGTTCATGAAATCTCGGGAGGTTGCTAGATTTCGGTATTCTTGTACATATAAGACGGTCAGGACGTGACG